TACACATTTCAAGTGTTTTAAAAGTGCTATGGTGTCAACCATATTTATCAAATGTGTGACGACATATTCGATTACTTTGTGTTTTAAAAACACGCCTTTTAAAAACTTGCGAAGTCACTTATTGATTTCACGATGTCTGTCCGTCCGTCCGTCTGTCCCACGATTATCTCGAGAACGGTTTCGAATTTTCAAATTCTGTTTTCAGCAATCGATTACTGATTACCCAGGCATCTGAACCTCCTATTTTGAAACTGATTGCTCAACGGCAACCGTTAGAAACCGCTACAAAGCTGATTGCTTCGCCACTGCTATGCTGTTAGCTTGCTAGGTTTATTTTATTTTTTGAAACATGTACTCTGTGGCGGCAATCAAACAGTGTCAAATGTAGTGCGTGTGGCGCGGCGGCGACGATTATGCGATATCAATAGTAACCGCCGGCACGTGTATCTTGACCTTGTACTTTCGAATAGCTGCACGATTTCTTTGACAGGTCATTATCCGACCTTTGATGACGCCGACAACAAGACGCCGCGCACTATCAAAGTGCCGATGGTCAAAACTAGGGATGCACTCTTTTTTCTTTTAATGGATATTTTCATTCGCTATGTATGTTTATGGTATTGTTCGTAATGCGCATAAGTCCAATTTTCCAATTTTTTTTTCATTATATTTTTTTGCGTCTCATAGAGTCCCTAAGCGTATACCCGAACTCCTATACTCCCTGAAACGACACTTAGTTCTAACTGCAAGACGCAAGAGTCTCGCAAGCTTAGTCTTGTTCTTGCGCAAATCTTGCACGGTCAGTCTTGGTCTTGGTCTTGCTAAAAAGAGGCGGTCTTGTTCTTGGTCTTGGTCTTGCAAAAATGCAAGAACAAGACCAAGACTGCAAGACCAAGACCGATTTTGGGCAACACTACTGAATACCATATTACTACATTACAAACGAAGTTACACAAGTTTGCCAAATATTAGCTCAAATTGGATGTCAGCAAGTGTTTCGAAAATTGATTACTAATTTCTCAACTGGAAAGACGTATGAAGAAACGAAGTTAAATAGCTTGTGGCGGGTTGAAGGAAAAGGGGAGATCGCCCGCCGGGCAAGGTGTTCTGCCCGGGGCGCGGCCAAGGCCAACGCTCCGATTGGTAGTTCGGAGCTATTCTATACATATATGCTGCTTTAACTTCGGAACTTTGTTAGTGCGATTTAGGCTTCGATGTGTTTCGCTTATGGCGCGACGATAGCGCGGCCACATCACCCCCCTGCTCAGACCGGAGGCCGATAGTGCAGTACGATTGCCGGTGCGTCCTTAATGCCGGTGGAGAATGCGTGCTGTGTGCGTAAGGGCAAGTGACGCCGGTGCGAACGATGTGCCGGTGTGTAATGCATGCCGTACTACGCACTTGCAAGTGATGCCGGTGAGAACGATGAGCTGGAGCAAATGCCTTGTAGTCTGCGGTGAGTCGAGAAGAAGGCAAGTAATCTGCGAGAGTGCCGTGAAGCAGAGGCGAGCAGTAAGGCTCAGAGCCGTGCCGAACACTGTAGCACAGAGAGTAGCTTGAAGGAACAGGAAACATTATTGTTCCAGTACTGCGATGAACCTTTGTAAAGCTAGATGGCTTGCAGAATGTGAAGACTGCAGACAATATCTTCTCGGGAGCGAATGAATGGGGTACTTGAGGACGATGACGAAGGTTTGAAGTTGTATTTTCCGAAGGTTATTGGTTGCGTGTTCATATCACGTCGGTTGGTCACCACTGTGGCGGGTGGAAGGAAAAGTTCGGACCTATTCTATATATGCTGCTTTAACTTCGGAACTTTGTTAGTGCGATTTAGGCTTCGATGTGTTTCGCTTGTAGCGCGACGATAGCGCCGCCACAAGCTTATAAAAATTGCAGTTTCATATTTAATAGGTAAAACACAGTTTCTTGGGATCCTTTGCATATATTACATACTTATATAATGACATAAACAATTAGTAGACAATAATCGCTATGTATTGCTGACTTCATAATATCTACGTATAAATATTTTATACTACATCTAATTTATATAATGTAATGTATAATGTATTTTGTATTTACAATAAAATTTTGTTTTTATGCATCAGTGCAAGACTGCCCGTCCTTCCAAATTATTCTGCTTCTAAAATTCTGTGTTCATTATTATTATTGAATTTCATTGTTTCAAGAAATTATTTTCGCAACCCTGTTTTTGAAGCAGGTAGGTACCGACTGCATACTCGCCCTCTTTAACGACCATATGTTTTTTTATTCTCTTTGAAGGCAAAACCTTTAGAGCTGGCCGGCATAAGCCCAAAGTTCTTGTTATATCAACTAATCTAACAGCTTGTGGTCGTATGTTTATGAAGGTTTATGTTATTTAAATGAAACAAAAATAAAATTTTAGCGCATGTAAATAAAAGTCATTTCAGTTTGGTTTTCTGTTTCTGAAACTAAAGAGTAGAATGAAGTTAGGGATTTAATTGGTGTACGTTGTTTGATTGTTTGCTTGACAATTTTACTTAAACGTGATATAATTTGGTTACAACTACGTGAAAGTTATAATTGTTAGAATATTGCACATCATTTTTACTAAAGAAAAGCTTTGTGTTTAATTTAGATCACGGCACGGTATTGCAATTAAAACATCTAAGTTTTGTTTTAATCGATTAAGGGTGACACACGAACTACACACGAACGATCAGTTCATCTGATGGTAAGTGGCTACTGTAGCCCATAGGCTACATATATTCTTGATCAAGAATCAAAATGCAGATGCGTTGTCATCCCTGAGGACTAAGGTGTGGAATGCCTCGTTTCCAGTAAAAAGGTTGTCCGGTTTCTTACACTCACCATACGGAACACAGCAGCATTAACCCGCTATTTGACGCTGGTATTCTGTGAGAGTGTCATTCCCCGATCCAGCTAAACCCATTCGTACTACTACTATAAAATAGCTGCAGCATGGCTCTACCACGTAAAAAAAGGAAAGGCATTTTTATTTGGCTGGTGCAATGATAAAAGATTCCAGTTAGCCCTTTACTTTAGTGGAGTAACAGTTAGGTAGTTAGGTACCAATCTGTTAAAATGTTATGATTCTATTTCAAATAATAAATATATATTTTTTTAAAAGATAAGGGCGACAAACGAGCATGCAGTCCACCTGATCGTAAGTGGTTGGTGCGGCCCACAGATACATCTATCCTCGATTACGAACCAAAATGCAAATGCGTTGTCACCCGTAAGGACTAAGACGGAATGCCTCGTTTCCAGTAAAAAGAGTCTTTGGTTCTCTACATTCACCATACGAAACACAGGAGCGTTAAGCTGCTTATTATACGTTGGTATTCTGTGAGAGCGTCGTCCTTCGCCGGTCGAGCCGACCCATTCGTGCTTCAACTATACTACTAATATAGCTGCAGCATGACTCTACCACGTAAATAATCGATTATCGAATAACAGATGATTCAGAATTATTAGATTATTTATTTATTTGCACTCGACTACTATCCTGTTACATCTGGCCCATACTTTTATACGGATGTGAGGCGTGGAGAGTTACCTCCGAAAATGTAGAGAAGCTTTCGAGACGTGGGCATACGTATGTTGGCCATTAGCTGGACTCACAATGTAACGGATGTGGAAACCGTCAAAATAAGAAAAGTCGCATATTTGGGGCACGTGCTCACTGCTCAGGCGCGAGAGGTACGAACTCCTAAAACTCATTATGATGGGAAAAGTTGCCGGAAGAAGAGGCGTCGATCGCAGAAAAATGTCATGGTTATGTAACATCCGAGAGTGGATGGGAATCGCGAGTGCCGCCGAACTGTATTAGCCTCGCAAATAATAGAGCGGAGTTCACTAAGCTGACTGCCAACCTTCGCTAGTCGGAGAGGCACCAGAAGAAGAAGAAAGAAGAATTTATTTATTTATTACTTGACAGCTCGGTACCTCGGTAGTGCAGATTTAACCGTTTGGCGCTATGTGCAATTTATGTAAGTATGTATAATTAAATTAACTAAATATTCTATTTTTTTTTATTTACGTTGAAATAGGAAATAGGAAAATAGTCAACATACTGCCAAATATGAACGCAGTAAATGTGAGTAGGTAAAATATAATTTTGTTTACCTCAAACTGTTTAAATATTATGTAAACTAAACTGGCATATTTCTGTGAATCATAGATAATATGTGGCTTATCAACTTATCATATACGTTTAGATCGGCAAAGGTTTCTCATCTATAAATTGTGTAAGATGTTTATGGGTACATTTTTTACGCTCCGTGCAGCAATTGTTTTCATGGCATATGCCGGAGAGCCAGAGCTATCGCTCTATGAGAAGAATTCCCAATCCCATGTACACATACAACTTTGTATTTTTTAGAATATTTGATTTTGTCTGGAATTGGAGTCTTCCCCTCACCGCTGTGGCCATATACATTATATAATTAATTTAAATTTGAAATATAATAAGCGAATATAAAAGTATATACCTCATAATCTGATTACTAAAAACCACGTGGTTGTTAATAAAATGATAAAATATAGATATACTATATTTGTATGCAGTTTTTATTGTCTCTTCAATCGACAGTTGTAATTTTAATTTATGTACATAAATTTGTCATTTCTGTAAAGTGCATAATAAATGCCTTTTTGTGACTTCGCTTCGGCGTTATAGCTTTATACGGAAGGATCACACTTCGTAGAATAACCAAGCAAAGATATTTTGTTCGAGCAATTTATGACCATTATACGGCGGTCGTTTGTAAACAATAACCGGTTCAAAGATGTTGGGTTCCTTTGAATGTATTTCGCGCGCACTCGGATCTGAGGGACGAGCGGCCGCCACGGCCTCACCACGCCAGTCCACCGGGCCTGCAAACGAACCACATTTATTATTGTTACGTAGTATAGTAATGAAAATAACGAATAATATGTTTCTTTATATGGAACAGTGAAGATATTAGGTATTTTATTTTTAAATTTTGCACAACATGTGCATGAAGTCCACATGTAAAGCAAGTAAGTATTATTTAATTTGAAATTTTTAAAAAATTGTATAATTTTGGATAGTAAGTAATATTTTTCGTATTTATTAAGTCTTTAGGATAATAGTCACTTAAGTTTTTTTTTAGTCTTTTAAATTAACCCCTCCTCACTACTACTTGAACGAATATGGTTGACAGCCTTTAGCCATGACTCCTATCTCTTTCTTAAATAAAATTCACATAACATGTGTCCTTAAATTTAAGTCTTTATTTCTTAGCTGATTTTATTATGTTATCTAATATGAGTCTACAAATAGCTTTTTTTGTAAATTTGGTGAAACTATTCATATAAAGTTATAAAAGTATATAGAGTAAGGCTAAGGCCACATGGTCGTCTACATCTCTACCATATTTGTAAACTAACATCCATATTTACGTATAATTACACAAATTGCAGGGTTAATATAAAAAGTAACACGTTATTTCGTACTACACTAGGTTTGAAAAGAACGGCGACGGAGCGCGGGGCGAGGGACGATCGAGAATGGAGAGCCGCGTGCGTCGACCCTCCCGAGCGCGCTTTGATCTCGCCGCTCACGTCGGCGACCGTGCCACAAAGCTCAAAGCTCCGAAGATCCCGCTCTCCGGCCGTCGCACACACCTGCCGCTAGCTATACTTTATTTCGTGATTTAGGTAACGAAAGTAAACGTTGTTAGTTGGTTAGTGATGCGCTTTTGAAATTAAAGTGTATTTCATAATTCCAACCATTCACGAAAATTATAAATGTAGAGATACGCGACATAATGAGACTAATGATACAGTAATTGTTGTGGTAATTAAATATTCTTTATGTTCGTTGTCCGTTGAAAGATGGATTTGCCTTAACCGTCACACCTGTACCCACCAGACGTCTCTCATACTTTTAACTTTGATGGTGTTCCCTGTCGACGAATTCGATTTTTAACGCCTGGTACGTAACAAGGGTTGCCAGATGGTCGGGATTCTCCCGACATTTTGAACGAACTCCAGACTCCCGGCAAAACTCAAAATCTCAAGACAAACAGCTTCTCGGAAAGTTGACGAATGCCTTTGATTTAATAAAAGCTGAGTTAGTAATAAGACTGAACTGTGGAGTAAATTGTTTGAATTTGAAATAAGTTTGAGTATTTTTGTAGCCTCTTAATTTAAACAATAAACTTTTTATTTTTAATATTTAATTCTGCCGACAATAATCCAAAATCCCGACATTTTCAAAATTTGTACAGATATTTTGGTATTCCAATCTCGCAAACGTAACGGTAGATGTGTAATTATACGGCCTAACGAAAATCATATGATCAAAAAGATCACATTTAGGCTTTTTACATAGACATTATACGTGGTAGACCCATGATACAGCTATAATAATAGTATAGTTGTAGTACAAATGGGTCGACTCGACCGAGGAAGGATCACGCTCTCACAGAATACCAGTGTAAAATAGCAGCTTAATGCTGCTGTGTTACGTTTGGTGAGTGTAGAAAACCGGAGACCCTTTTTACTAGAAACGAGGCATTCCATCTTAGTCCTCACGGGTGATAACTCATTTTTGCATTTTATCGGTATCGAGGTAATGAGTCATTCCATGTCAGTATTCAGAAGTACCAACGTATCTGCATTTTATTCGTGAACGAGGATAGATGTAGATTTCTATGGGCGACAGCAACCACTTACCTTCCGGTGGACTGTGTGCTCGCTTGTCACCCTTATCCTATAAAAAAAGACAGGCATTTCCCCTTGTCTCTTATGATACCCACGGGACGAAATGTAATGATGGTATCTTTTACGTTACCACCACACAGCCAGCCGCTAACACATAGCAATATTAGATACAATATAGTTTAAACCCATAATATAATTTAGTCTACTTTATTCCTATATTATTTAAGGATGTATTAATTATGCCCGTAATTAATTATACTCGTATCTTTAACACTTCATAAAAATATAATTTTATACGTGGTAGAGCCATGCTGCTGCAAGATTATGGTTGCTGCACGAATGGCTCGACCGGGGAAGGACCACGATCTCACAGAATACCAGCGTATAATAGCAGCTTAACACTGCTGTGTTTCGTATGCCGAGTGTAGAGAACCGGAGACACTTTTTACTGGAAAAGAGGCATTCCATCTTAGTCCTCACGGGTGAGTGATCTGTATTTTGATTCGCAAACGAGGATAAATGTAGATGTCTATGGGCCACAGCAACCACTTACCATCAGGTGGACTGTGTGCTCGTTTGTCACCCTATCCTATAAAAAAAGCGAGAACACTGATCACTGACCACTTGATGGTAAGTGGATGTTGTGGTCCATAGACATTTACATTTATCCTCAATTAAGAATCAAAATGCAGATGCGTTGTCACCCCTGAGGACTTAGATGGAATGCCTCATTTCCAGTAAAAAGGGTCTCTGTTTCTCTACACTCGGCATACGAAACACAGCAGCGTTAAGCTGCTATTATACGCTGGTATTCTGTGAGAGCGTGGTCCTTCCCCGGTCGAGCCGACCCATTCGTGCTACAACTATACTACTAACATAGCTCCAGCATGGCTCTACCACGTATAGCATTGCTTGTCACCCTTATTCTGAAAAATATGTAATAGTGTTATCGTATTATAGTTATCTATCCTAACATAATTCATAATTTACTCGAGTTATGTACGTGAAACTGTATGTAATGTACAAAGACATTAATATTTAAATCTCTTTGGTAATGTAGCTTTTTTAGCAATGTGCCTGAATCATATGTGGTTCTGTTCCCGTAAAAAAACCGTATTGAAAAAGCGTTATATAATCACTATATACCGCTAGTGTCATAAATCACACTCACCACAAAGTTTCCGACGTAATTTTAAACCATTCCATCGATAGTACTTGTGGCGTAGACTCTGCATATTTCGAGTCTAACAGTAATAGTGTTCATATTACATACATTATTGCCGACAAACAGGCTTACAGTAAATTAAAAATGTGAAGAATACACTATTTTTAAGAATAAATAAAATATATAAGAAATAGACTATTTAAGTATTAACTCTACACTTAGTAATGAAAAGGTTAAAAAATCTTGACTAAGTTTTTTGTACGTAATGTTTCGGTGAGATTTAAACATTCACAAAACTCTATAATTTATTCAATCGCGGAAGCTTATACTTCTGTTGGTTCTCCTGCGATATCTTCATTACGAATTCTATCATACAGAGGAACTCCGATCATAGCCCTCTCCCAAAGCTTGCTGAACTACCATGAGCTCCCTCCTACGGTGATACGGCCAACAGTGAACGACCACGTCTCAAGTCCATGTGTCATCCTTTCCGTGTCATCTGTATCCATCCGTGTGGTGGAAGTTTATCGCTGCTCATTGATGACCTCTTACCCCGGTTTATTTAACCCGTATTATTATTAAAAAAATATATATTTTACAGCGTAAGTATAAATTCAGTTTCGCTATAAATGTTTAATCTATACAAATAAATAAAATTGAAGTGTCTGTTTGTAATGTCAAAATAACAGATTTTTACTAAATGCATGTGAAATACTGACCTCTATTATACAAGTATGCTGGAACTATAATTATATATGCACAATGAGGCGATTCTATTTTTACCATTTTCGCCCTGATAGCAGTAGTGAGCGTCCACGGAACTAATAATAGTGATAGAGGAACAGTGTGACAAAATATATCGATAAAAATTGTATACCCAGGCCTATCATTCTATTTATGTATCATTTTAATATAATGCTACACAATAAATAAATGTATCAATAAATACTTATGTCATAAACACAACATTTATACCTCATAAAAAACAAAAATCGACTCTGCGTCTGTCTATCTAGGTTTTTCTTCGTAACTATAGAACGGGTTTTGTTCCGGATTTCACCATTGGGTATGTATGGTTCATTCCAGAAATTTAAAAAGGTCCAAAGGAAAAATTGAAGGAGGTAACTACAAAATAAAATAAAAAAAATTTTACAAAAGAATTTCTTATTAACCATTCATTGAGTTCTCGTAATAGAGAAAATCAATAAGCTGCCAAAATATTATGACTTTTTCAATAATATATAAGTATATAGATGCAATTAGAATCTTACAAACTTTAAATTACATTAAAAATATCATATCACAAATCATTGACGTCGTTATCAATTTACTTTGGACGCCAATTCACAAGTTTTCAAAGTTTTTAGTCACATTTTTAGTATGGAGTCAGTTGTAAACTTGTAAATTAATAAATATTTGATAATTATCTGTTGTCAGCGATTTTCATCGTTGTAAACAGATCTACATTTATAGGTAGAAAAAAACATCGATAAGTGTTATCGACAAGGAACTGGTCAATCCTATTTTTCTACGGTTTATCAAAAATAGGTACCTAATTTAAAGCCAAAACTGTAAGTTATTACATTAATGTGAAATGTGAAGTATTTACTTATCTAAAGTGACAGATTTTTAAGAGCCTTTATCAAATAGTTTTAATTATTTTTTTGATACAAACTCTAAATCCCCTTCCTTGTAGAATGTCACCACACTTCCCTTCTGGTAACGAATTTCACATTATCATTGTTACCACAGAATAAATAACTAAAATACTTTTTATTAAATGTATAACTAACTAGAAACAATCGAACTACACAACATACTCTTAGACGTTTTGGGCAAAAAAACGCCCATTTGCAAATTATGTCAAATTTACTTCCCGTTATACTCAATGGCGGCGTTTCAAATCAGCACAAACGTTTTGTAGGGTATTGCCAGTCCAGCGTTCTAGTACATATTTAATTTTAAATTAAAGCGTACTAGTATATAATGGTGGTCAGTGATGTGAATGTACTAATAACAAAAAACAACTTTTAAAATATTTGTTTGTCTTACTGTTTGTTTATTCCGGCTAATCTCCGAACCGGCTGGACCGATTTTAATGGGATTAGTGTTGCCCGAAATCGGTCTTGGTCTTTTTCTTGCATTTTTGCAAGACCATTTGATTTGAGCAAGAACAAGACTAAGCCTGCGAGACTCTTGCATTCTGCAGTTAGGACTGAGTGTCGTTTCAGAGACTATAGGAGTTCGGGTATACGCTTAGGGACTCTATGAGAGGTAAAAAAATATATTTAAAAAATTTGGAAAATTGGACTTATGCGCATTACGAACAATACCATAAACATAGAAAGCGAATGAAAATATCCATTAAAAGAAAAAAGAATGCATCCCTAGTTTTGACCATCGGCATTTTGGTAGTGCGCAGCGTCTTGTTGTCGGTATCATTAAAGGTCGGATACTGACCTGTAAAAATTTTTTGCAGCTATTCGGAAGTACAAGGTCAAGATACACGCAATAATCCGGCAAGGATATTCTCACTGTGGAGCTTCGAGAGTCCGGAGGCTCTAAACAATGTGACTTTACTAGTCGCTCTGCACTCGTGTGGTGCGACGTCGAAGCCCATTTGGATCTCGGCGATCGGTGTTATCGTTTTTAACACGTGTACCACGGCGCCGAGGATCCGAATTAACCTCGGTTCGATGTCGGAGCTCGGTATAGTCTGTAGACGACTTACGTTCCTGGCGGGGTGTTGGGCTCGGTAGAGCAGCGTCGTGCTGCGATCTGTTGAGACTCAGCCCTACGCCAGG